ACTCTCAATCCACGGATGAACCCTTGCAGCTTCCTCTCCTNNTTNATTCGTTTTTTCAACTTCCGGANNNCCAACTTCCTCNGNCTCAGCCGCCGGAACCAAACTAAGACCAACTTCTCCTCCTTNATTCCTTCCAACTTCTCCTCCTTCATCCTCCGCCGTCGGAACAGAGCTTTCTCCATCTTTCTTTTTCTTCCTTCTCGAAAATATTTTCGTTCGCTGAATCGAGAGAAGATATCAATTCGAGAGGGCTCGAGTTAGAAATTGAGATCTCTAGTTTGACGAGAGAGAGAACGAAGAACGGTTTTGATTTTGAGAGTAACGATTTTGATTTCTTTGATTTCGGAGATGATTTCGCCGGCAAAAATATTTTCAGTTTAGGGATGAGTTTGATTGAGATTCTCGGATCATTCGCGGGTCGATCCGATTTCTCGGGTTGGGCGGATAAAACCCAGGTATAAGGTGTAATTTTTAAGTTTTGGCTAGGGTAAGAAGGTAACTTACCTATTTTTNNNNTTNNNNTTAATTCAAACAGAAAATCATTTTAATGGGGAGAATTTTGAGATTATGTTTTGAGCAAAGTGTCCTTTTGAGATGAATTCTCTTCTTAAACCCAGTTTATTTGTATCGAGGAAAACAAAAATATCCTTATCCAAAGGTAAGCTCCATTTGTAGAGCCATGTTTGAGTTGTTTGATCATTTATTGGTAAGTCTTCTGTTTTGTTGTCTCATAGCTCGTAACATGGGAATTTGTAACTCTGTATCCAAGTCAATGCATCGACATTGTGACATTCAGTATTTTGATGTTCTAGTGACCACGAATTAGAGTTGACATTGTCACATTGAGTAATTTTAAGTTTCAGACTTTCTTGTTGTCTCCCTCTCTCCAGTATAGAGATTGGAGCTGACTTTGGGCCGAAATGTTAAATTGGGCCGTAGCCAATAAAGTGAAGACTAGCAATGCGAACCCATATCGAGAAGTGTGGTTTGATCTGGGGGATTTTGGGACTGTGCCATTCTGACTCTGTTTCTAGGGTTACAGTTCTCGTCTTCTGGTAGTTTTGATGCAAGGAGACCTTTCAATGGGGAATGAAGCTGTTAAGAGGTTCACTTGGGTCTTTAAGGATTTCTCCTCTTTGCAATCCGAGTTTATTGAATCTGATCACTTCGTGATAAGTGGCTGCAAATGGTTAGAAGTCAACTTGTTTACTAACGTTGTAGTTTAGGTTTACGAGTACATGAATTCGTTTCCAATGGTTTTTGCTTGTAGGTGGCTTGTGGCTTATTACAGGGATCGTCGCACAAAACATTTGTCTCTGTTTCTGGTGGTTGCTGATTCTGATACTTTGCCTTGTGGATGGAGAAGACACATATAAAATATCGCCTAACTGTTGTGAATCAACTTTCAGAGAAACTCTCCCAAGTAAAAGGTGTTTTTTTTATCTCTGACAAAGGAAATTTCATATTTTGTGGTTCTACATGTCACGGGATTTGTGCTGCTAAAAGATTCTATTTATGGTGTTGTGTTTGTTTTGACTTATTAGATCAGTTCTATCTTTCGTAATTTCACAGAAACTCAGCTCTGGTTAGATCAAAAGGTTCCTTTCAAGTGTTATCCAGAATTGATTCCCCTTACCAAACTTCATGCAAAAGATGGTGGATTCCTTGTGAACAATGAAGTCAAGATTGTCGCCGAGGTTGAGGTTCTTGAAGTCATTAACAAATTAGATGTATCAGTAAAATCTCAAGAGGTTACCCAACCTCGGAAAAAGACAAAGCTAAACGATGATGGTGATGTGTCTAGTCATTTGCACACGGAAACTTCATCAGTAAGGGGAACCATTGATGTCAATGGGTTTCAAGTTCTACCTTCACAGATAAAAATTTCATAAAGATTCAAACTTTTTAGAATGTCTTTGCCATTTTTGGTTAGATAGGAACATATTTGAGAAATATCTTTTGCTTTCAAACTCATGAGATGTTATCATTTGCTTTTGCTGTTGTTGATTTTGGAACAAGATGTTTTTTTTTGTGTTTTGAATTTATTAGTAGAACACACTTCTTAATACAGAGAGAATGTAAAGAAAAGAGATATATATATATATATCTTGGAAGTCTACCCTTTAGTTTGTGGATATGTATGTTATACATATCGCTCTCTACTTTTTTTCATCCTTTTTCAACTGCAGGCGGAATCTGTGAAACGTATATTCGAAAGACACCCAGAGATTGCATCAGAATGCCGAATAAAGAACCAAGATCTGAGAACATCATACATGAATGTCCTCCTCAGCATAATCAAGATGCTCTTCAAATCGCCTCAGGACGCCTCAATGGATGATCTGTCTCATGTAGAAGCTGCTCTGGCATACATGAAAAATGTAGGGTTTAAGTTGGATTGGTTGGAGAAGAAACTTGATCAAGTCAAAGAAAACAAGAAGAAATGTGCCCGGGTGTGAAGTTCTATGTTTCGTGATTTTACAGAAGCACAGCAGCGGTTTACTGAAAAGTATTGGTCTTGGGGTTTCTCACACATGCTTCTTCTTACCAAACTTCATGAGAGAGATAGTGGGTTTCTTGTAAACGGAGAACTCAAGATTACTGCGGAGGTAGATGTTCTTGAAACAGAGGAATCTGAAGGGACAACCCAACCTCTAAAAAAGAGAAAGCAAGATAATGATGGTATGTTGTCTATTGATTTACTCAACAAGACTCAACAACTGAAGGAAGTCCATGGATTTCTAATTCTTCCTTCGCAGGTAAGAAACTTAAAATTAGTGTTTCAACAATTAGCGTTTCGTTATACACTGATAATTCTGGTTTTCCAACTCGTGAGACTTTATCATTTGCTTTTTGTTGCTGTTGATTTTGGGACAAGAGGTGGATTATTTCTTTTTTTTGAATTTATCCTTAGAACACATCTTAATACATAGCAAAATGACCAAAAAAGAGTATCATCTTAATAGTCTACCATTTAGTTTATTATGGATATGTATGTATTCATATGAGTTTATACTTTATTCATCATTTTTCAACTGCAGGCAGAATCTGTGAAGCGTATATTCGAAAAACACCCAAACATGGCATTAGACTTTCAAGCAAAGAACCAAACTGTGAGGACAGCATGCATGAATGTCCTCCTCAGCCTAATCGAGACGTTGTGCCAGTCACTGCAAGACCTTTCCATTGATGAGCTGGGCCAAGCAGACAATGCACTAACATACCTTAAAAATTCGGGCTTTAAGGTTGATTGGTTGGAGCGTAAACTGGAGCAAGTAAAGGAAAAGAAGATCGAGTGAGACTCGGATGCAAGAATTAGAGGAAGAATTGAAAGGCTTTAAGCAGAAGTACTCAGACATAGAAGCTCTGCTAGAGAAAAAGAAGGAAGAACTAAAGGACTTGAAGCAGAAGTGCTCAGACACAGAAGTTCTGCTAAAGAAAGAGAAGGCAAAGGTATTGGCCTCCAGAACTCCTCGACTAACGTTGGATGATGTGGTCTGATGACTTAGGTTCTGCTAGGTGTTGTGGTATTGTATGTTCGTTTGAGTCTAGGTTTCAGAATTAGAGTCGGAATTGGAATCTCCTATATTTTGTAAAGAACTAATCTTTTTTGTTGAGACGATTCGATAGGATTTTTTTTAGTTGTCTCATTCATGACTATGTAGACGGAGTATTGCTGGCCAAGGTTCAGCTGTACTTTGATTTATCTGTATGGGAGGAAAACAATAATATCTTTATGCAAAGGTGTTTTCAGCTCCATTTGTAAAGCAATGTTTAAGTAGTTTGATCATTTATTATTATTGGTAAATCTTCTCTTTTGTTGTCTCGTAGCTCGTAACATGGCAATTTGTAACTCTGTATCCAAGTGAATGCATCGACATTGTCAGATTGAGTATTTTGATGTTCTAGTTAGAGTCGACATTGTCACATTGAGTATTTTTAAGTTTCAGACTTTCTTCTGGTCGTCAATCTCTCCAGTATAGAGATGGGAAGCAGCAAATCCGATCAGAAAGAGAATGATTAGCTAGTTAAAGGATGAGATATGCACTGTGTTTCCAAGTCCCTGCATCCAAATAAATAAAATAAAGAGACATGGGAGAGTGTTTACGAGGGGGCAATGTTTAATGCTGAGACGTGATGAGTCTCTTGGCTACAATCACTATGAAATTGTAGAGGTTGGTTGAGTCTAGAAGATGCAGATCTAAGATCTCAATTCGTCTTTCTTCATTCAATAAAAGCTAGTTCGGAGTTAGGAACAAGTTTCCACATTGTTTGGGCCTCAATACTAATTTGGGCTGAAGTTTAGAAGTAAAGACCCATTTATTTAGATTTTTCAGTGGAATCTCGTGAGGTAACCCAACTTCTGAAAAAGACAAAGCTAAACAATGATGGTGATGTGTCTAGTCACAAGGAAACTTCATCAGTTAAGGAGACCATTGATGTCAATGGGTTTCAAGTTCTTCCTTCACAGGTAACAAACTTAAGAAAGGTCCAAACTTTTTACAATGGCAACCCAATATGTTCCGTTTCAAACTCGTGAGACGTTATCATTTGCTTTTGATGTTGTTGATTTTTCGGGTTTTTTCTGTTTTGAATATATCAGCAGAACACTTCTTGTTTCTTGATACAGAGAAAATGTTTTTTTTTTTTTTTTGAAGAGTATCATCTTAAAAGTCTACTTTATGTGAGCATTTGGCTTTATACTTGATTCATCTTTTTTTCAACTGCAGGTGGATTCCGTGAAACGTATATTTAAAAAACACCCAAACATGGCATCAGAAATCCGGACAAAGAACCAAGATCTGAGGACATCATGCATGAATGTCCTCCTCAACCTAATCAAGACGATGTGCCAGTCACTGCAAGACCTTTCCATTGATGACCTGGGCCAAGCAGACAATGCAATAACATACCTGAAAATTTCGGGCTTTAAGGTGGATTGGTTGGAGCGTAAACTGGAGGAAGTAAAGGAAAAGAAGATGGAAGAGGAGATTGGTGAGACTCGGATGCAAGAATTAGAGAAAGAACTGAAGGGCTTTAAGCAGAAGTACTCAGACATAGAAGCTCTCCTAGAGAAAAAGAAGGAAGAACTAAAGGACTTGAAGAAGAAGTGCTCAGACACAGAAGCTCTGCTAAAGAAAGAGAAGGCAAAGGTATTGGCTGCTAAAGCTCCTCCTCTAACGTTGGATGATGTTGTCTGATGACTAAGGTTCTGCTAGGTGTTGTTGTATAGTATTTTCGTTTGAGGTTCAGGTTTCAAAACTAGAGTACTGACATAAGAAGCTAGAGAGACTCCTATCGGAATTGGAAGCTCCTATATTTTGTAAAGAACTAATCTTTTTTGTTGAGATGACTTGTCGTCTCATTAATGACTATGTAAACGGATTATCGCCGGCAAAGGTTATGTTGTACTGTGCATATTTTTAACCAAGCTTAACTTTGGTCTTAAACCGAGATTATTTTGTGAGGTTACAGAAATATTTTGCTGTTTTTAAGCTCCATATGTGTAACCATTTTTCGTTTGTTTGATCATTTATTGGTAAATCTTCTCTTTTGTCTCATGAACATGGCAAGTCACTGTATCCAAAGCAGACATTGGGCCGAAATGGTAAATTGGGCCAAAGTCTTGAAGTGAAGACCAGCAACACAAACACATACGGGAGAAGCGTGGTTCGGTTTGTGCAATTTGGGTGTGTGCCACTCTCACTCTCACTGTATCTCTAGGGTTTCAGTTCTCTGTTCTTGTTCGGGAAGTCTTCGATGGGGAGAATACGGAGAGATGGTAACCAGTTCACTTGGGTGATTAAGAATTTCCCTACTTTGCAATCGGAGATCATTTATTCTGATGAATATGTGATCGGTGGCTGCAAATGGTAAAGAAGACAAATTGTATGTTTGTTTTATGTTTTCCTTCGAATTTAAGGTGGTTTTGGTGACAGATCCATTGTTTTCGAATGGTAAACTTTTTGTCTCTGTATTTGGACGTTGCTGATTCTAAACATTTGCCTTGTGGATGGAGAAGACACGTAAGATATCACCTGAGTGTTGAAAATCAGATTTCGGGAAAACTCCCCCAAAAGAAAAGTAAATTCTTTTTACACTCACTACTTTTTGTAAGACGAACAGAGGAAAGTTTCAGATTCTGTTTTGTTTGACTGGAGTTTGTATGCTTTTGGTGAAACGCCAGGTAAAAACAGAGGTT